GCTGGTGTTTGTGTGTTTGTCTTTGTGTGTGTGTGTGTGGGTGTGCAGTTGTTCCATCTACCAAGGAAAAGTCTATCACACAGCTGCTCATCTGAAATAATTTTGGTTGAAGTCTTAGAGATCTAATTTCACAATAAGAAACTAAAAAACCGGAGATTTTTTTTTTTTTGTTACAAAGAAAAAGAATATATACTAACAATTTTTTACTATTTTTGACAGAATAAAAATATTTCCTAAGCCAGGTGTTTGTGGCGCACGCCTTTAATCCCAGCACTCGGGAGGCAGAGGCAGTTGGATCTCTGTGAGTTCGAGACCAGCCTGGTCTACAAGAGCTAGTTCCAGGACAACCTCCAAAGCCACAGAGAAACCCTGTCTCGAAAAACCAAAAATAAATAAATAAATAAATAAAAATCCTATTTCTTCTTTATCTGATTAAACATAAAATAGTATCTTGACTTTTATTTTAGCTAAGAAATTGAGCTCTTAAAAAATATGTGGTCAAGCATACAGAAATTCATTTGTTTAACAGACATGGAAATGCTTCTATTGAGACTTCTTAATTGAAGACACAGGAAGGGACTCACGGGGAAGATAACAAATTGCTAGTAGATAGCAACTTCTTGATTTCTTTAGAACTTAAGAAATAAAATTAATTCACCTATGTTTTAAATTAATAAAATTATAGAACTCTTCAATGTAAGCAGTTATGTCAATGATGAGTACACTGGGGACAGTGCATTATAAACATGAGATAAAAGCCACTCAGTGTCAATGAGAAGGCTGGAGAATGTAGACAGGAAGACACAGACAGCCATAGGCCTCTGCACTTCTGTGAATTTGGTGGTTTCTACTCACTCAGAAATAATCATTTCTACTTTTTTTTTTTTTAACAACTCCACAAAGACTAGGAGTTTGTATTTTACCACTTGTGCTTCAGAGTATTATAAAATGTTTGTAATTACAGTGTCATGCTTATGAAAATATTTTTATTTTGTGTGTCTTCACTCATGTTTATTTAAATTAGGGTAGGCTAAAGGGTGACTAAAGGAGGAAATATATAATACGCTCTGTCTTTTGGCAGAGAAACATAAATCCATAAAAACAATATACATGCAAACACTTAAAAGTTATTTTTTTCAGTATGCTAAATGTCCTAATTTTCATTTTAAAGTCATATATTGACAGACCATCAGATGTTGGTTAAATATAAAGTATGACTCTTACCATTCTCTTCATTTGTCTAGTGCACCGGGCACAGTACCACACCAGGCGAGGGTCATTCACTTCTTTGTCTGTCACCTGGGGTTTGTGGCAATCTTGGTGGTAGAGGTTATGGCACTCTTGACATTCTACTAATTGATTTCCAGATGCCACGGTCATTTGCCTAAGAAGAACATTACATTAAACACGTACTTTCTTGAACATACAATTTAAAGTTGTTTCCACATTATTCTGGTAAAGTTTGTTATGTTAAAGGAAAAGAATCCCAGAAAATAATCATTTAAGACATTAATAAGAAAAATAACGAACACTAATACAAAGCCTACAAAAGACCTTCATTTGTGATAGGCTATGCTTAGTCAATAATTACAACATTTCAATTAAGTTTAGTTACATTTTTAGTCACTTCACATTGCAATCTGTTTCTATTTCTTAAGAGGAGGTAGATTCTTCTTTGACTAAGGACAGCTCTTCCGAAGTATCTCTATGAAATTCCTCTGTGAGATAGCTACACGTTGTTCAGTCTTCATCATTAGCTAAGTTAGGAAAGCTGAGTGTGGAGGCTCATTGTAACTTCAGCACACATATGGCTGAGAAAAGGATAGCTTGGGTTATATTGTGTGTTCCAGGCCAGCATGGACTACAGTGAGAGCCTGTTTCATAAAACTTGCTTAGACAAAAAAAATTAGAAAACCAAAGTTAACTCAGGATGAGAACCTACTCTAGTCATTTACGTACTGTGCACACAGATGTTTGGTATATATCGGGTCAATGTATATAGACCTGAACAGGATGTAGTAGCAGGTGTATCAAAAAAAGACTCTATCCCAAAAGCACAGGAAAGCAATCACCACAGGCTTAGCGGGTATGCTAGGTGTCCAGAGTTACTAGGTCTTTCCCCATTAGTACTTCCATAATATTCCCTTACAAGGTACTAATTCCATGGCAGATTAGGGGTAAAATAAGCAATACATGTGGAAACAAGTATTTACTCAGAACCACACCAACCCATTTTCTATAAGGTTCACAAAAGCTGCGATTTTCCTTAGTTACAATATATTAGAAGTTAGCATTTTTTTTGTAGAATAGCCACAAAAATAATCTTTTTACATTAAGCAATGAAAGCTATTAATAATTGAACATCATCCCTTTACATTAACATATTCATAATTTAGTTATTAATTTCTGAAAAAACAAACAAACAAAAAACCCAAAGTACCTTCTACTAAGCAGAAAATACTACTAGGAGCAGATAGTTTATCTTCTGTAATTATGCATTCAAGTTTTAAAATGTCATTCAGGACAGCCTGTATTCACTTCCACTCCTCTTAGGAAAGCATGTAATGGTGTCTTCCGAAATGACATATACCAAGTTAGTTTTTTTTAAGTGCCATCAGCATTCAGAAAGAAAGAAAAAGCAATGAAGATAGCTTAAAAAGAAAGATGGAATTGAGGTTCCTGGCAGATTCCCCCTCAGACAGGGTCAATACAACATAACAGATTGAAAAAGCTGTGGTCTGAAAGAGAAAATATCTGACAATTGCTGTGTTCTACTTAATTTGTTCTTCATCCCAAATAAAAACAAAACAGAAAATTCCTAATGAATTCTATGATGGGGGGGGTAGGGGTAGGGGTAGGGTTAAACATAGTAGGAGGAGACTGCTCCTTCTAAAGAAGTAAAACAATCTGTGCAGGGGTGTAACTCACCTACAAACAACACAGGCCAAGCCCATCTCCATGGCAAAATCATCAGCACTAGTCTCTTCAAAGCTGGAGAGGTCTGCCATAGCTAAATCCTTGCTGGTTTGGACAGTAATGGGAGAAGACCGTGTCTCTGGTTTCTCCAATCTAGGTTTCTTTGGAATATCAACTCCTTCAGTGACATCTTTCATCTATAAAAAGAACCCAATGATGAATGATCCCGAAATAACACAGCATAAACTCTCAATCATTGAGAGAAAGAGGGGCAATATATGACGAGGCTATTTTATAGACATTTTCACACAGAGCTATACACTTTAAAGATCTGTTGAAGAATCTTAACTATAATTTGAGTCAGAGTTGTGGGAGGAGTAGGAGAGAAGGAAGGGGTAGTGACAATGTAAATAGAGTATTCACATAGCAAATTCACAAAATAATTAAATTGAAAATTTTATAATTAGTATGTTAAAAGAAACTAGTGAGATATAAATAAATCAGAATAGTATAACAAATATCTGTATTCCACTTTGTACTATATATATTAAAAGACATGGAAATTTAATGGATATACTATCTTTTTTCTTTAATTCAAGATGCTGGACTTGAAAAAACCCAGTATTACTAATATTGCTATTTAAAACAACAACAACAAAATAACCAAAAACTTTAGATAAGGCTCCCTGATAAGCTTGCTGTGCAAGCATGAAGGACCAGAGTAGAACCCACATAAGAGCAGGCGCGGAGGTGGCCTGTAATCCCAGCACTTGGCCAGTTAATTACATTAGCTGGAATTCATGAGCTCTGGGATCAGCAAGAGGCCCTGCCTCAGTAAATAAAGTAGAGAGTAAGTGAGTGGGACATCCAGTGTTGACACTAGGCATCTACATGCACAAATACACATGCCTGCAATACACATGAACACACATAGACATAGGAACACACACTATACACATACATGTGCAAAATACCCACTAATTATGGTGAATAATATTCAAACTGTATTGAAAAAGTAGATAATGAGCTATTTTCTTATATTAGTTACAATGTTGCTGGCCAATGACTAGATTTCTCATTTGCTAGCTCTCTCTTAAGTATCAACCATAACCACTAATCTATATATTTTGTACAGACTTATCTTATTGAGGACACCAGCAGCATTCGTCCTCTCTTCCCCGGGGATCACATGGCGACTCTCCTCTTTACTACATTTCCCAGAATCCTCCTCAACTCCCAGCCCCACCTATCTTGCTTCCCTATTGGCCAACAGTACTTTATTTATCAAACAATAAGACAAACATATACACAGAAAGACCTCCCCCATTCTGTGCCTGCTACCAAACTTGTGAGCTGGTTTTCATTCCCAAGACACGCTTGTTGGAAAAAGAGAACCGACTCCCTCAAGTTGTTCTCTGGCTTTCAGACACACATGTGGCATACATGACATTCCCACAAATAAATTAACATAATAAAAACACAGAAAACAAAACAGCATCAAGTGAAGAAAACATAACTAAATGGCATACATAAACAGTATAATAACATTGTGGAAATATAAAAGCACAGAGATAATGCCATGTTCATGAGTATCTATTATTTAGTAATAGGATGAAAATACATGGGATAATAAGCCCCACCTGAGGGCAAGGGCTACCGAACATATTTTTAGTACATTTTTTGTTAGTTGCCAAACTTTTAATTACCGTTTATAAAATTATCCAAAATATACAATCAAGAAGTTATCGATAACCTTCTCAAGATGCCTGCCATCATGTAAAAGAGTTTAAGTTTAATCACATCAGGGTTCTTTCAGTTTCCCTTCTCAACAACTACTACAGCCAGAGTTATGGAATAAGGTCTGTATTACTTGACGACAACCATCTCAAGTATAAGTTAAATATGTGTTTCTAGATTACAAACTTTTAATTACCATTTATAAAATTATCCAAAACATACAATCAAGAAGTTATCGATAACCTTCTCAAGATGCTTGCCATCATGTAAAAGAGTTTAAGTTTAATCACATCAGGGTTCTTTCAGTTTCCCTTCTCAACAACTACTACAGCCAGAGTTATGGAATAAGGTCTGTATTACTTGACGACAACCATCTCAAGTATAAGTTAAATATGTGTTTCTAGATTTTGTTCATTTTTTCAACATCTCCAGCTAGCAAAATAAATTTACAGCGCAGTCGTTCTATGACTACACCCACTGCTACATGAAATCGGCACACGGCATTCCTTCTGCCTATGGAAACGGGTTACCCTTTCATAAGCTAAGCAGAGGCAAGCCTTACTTTATCAGCAGGTCTCTTTTCAGCTTCTTTCTTTATCTTTTCAGTTGCGAGGGCTTTGCCATTACTACTGCCGGAAGGGAGACTCGATGATGCTTTGGGCTCTTGCTTGATAGAAATAGATTTTGTGCTTGAAATTTTGGGTGGTTCCACATCCTAAGGGGTTAAAATTAAAAAAAAAAGAGAGAGAGAGAGAGAGAGAGAGACCTTTATTTTGTTCAAAATCGAAGGGCTGGAGTTACTGCTCAGTGGTAGGGCACTTGCCTAGCATGCACCATGTCATATTCAATTCCCAGTACTGAAAAAAGAAACAAACACAAAGAAGGGCTTGAGTTATTGCTCAGTGGTAGGGCCCTTGCCTAGCAGGCACCATGTCATATTCAATTCCCAGTACTGAAAAAAGAAACAAACACAAAAAACTAGTAATTTAAACAAGTTTCAGTTAAAAATTAAGGTGCTATACTATAGTCAATGTAACACTAACACATGGCTTCCCTAAGAAAGAACTGATTCACCACCAGCAGCTATCTGATGTTTTGATAATGTGTTTGTATGTCCATGAGATAAGCATTGCAACCATATACCCATGACCACCCAGAGTCTCTGAGGTTCTTTGTGATCATTCTCTTACAGGTTCATGTTCTAAAAAGCTGTGGGCAGTAAAGCTGGGTTGTGGGCATATCTTAGGCTTCGGATTCTGACTATACTCAAGATAGTCATATGACTCTGTCTTCCCTCTTAGTTGGGCAGCTGTGTCACCACACTTGGATGACTCTGAGGTTCAGAACTAGAATAGCAAAGACTTCTTGTGGATAGCCTGTATATGCAAGGTGGATACTACTTGGGCTAAATTACTTATTTTGCTCTAAGTTTTACAATTCTGCAAGATAGTTCTTAGTCTCCTCATTTTGCCAAGGTGGGGTGAAAAAAAGTTATTAGACAACTCAGCTCCCTAACTGTAAAGTAAGAAAAATGGGTAATACTAGAATTTCAAGATATCATTATTACAACAAAAGTTCCTAAAACGCACAAACCACTTAGGAAAGGGGCTATACCATAAAGTTTCAAGGTACGTAACTTGATATCACACAAAGAGGTAAACTGGATTTTCAAAAAGGCTTTGCTCTACAACACACTCTTGTCACATAAAGCTGCCATTCACTATCAATAATGAAAGCTACAAACTTTTGACATCCACAACCTTTACCCTTATAGTATCCTGCCCATGTTTAGTTCATTTTGTTGGAAAATTCCTGTTATTTATATTTTTATCCTTAAAACATGAGAGAACAATTAGGAATAAGTTTGCATACTTTTAACACACTAAAAAATAATTAAGAAGAACTGGAGGTTAAATTGCAAGTGCTTTTTTATACAACACATAGTAAAACAGCGCATCTTCTAGACCAGTGGCTCTCAGCCTTTCTCACGCTGTTTCTTTAATAGAGTTCATCATGTTGTGGTGACCCCCCCCCCAACCACAAAATCATTTCCATTGCTGCTACTTTTTTTTTTTTTTTTTTTGAATTATAGGGTAAATATCTGCTATGCAGGATATCTGGTATGTGACCACACTGGGGTCGGACCCACAGGCTGAAAACCACTGGTCTAGACAGTTGCCAGGGTGGCACCTCTGGTAAGTAGCTCCATCGATTTCTCTGTACTGGAGTCTCCATTTGACCTGGGCATCCTAACCCGTTGCTATTTCTTAACTATAATTTTGCTGCTGTTATGAACTGCAATATAAATATCTAAGCTTTGCAAAGATCTTAGGAACTCTTGTGAAAGGGCTGTCATCCCGAAGGGGTCACGATCCACAGATTGAGTAGTACTGCTTGCTCTAGGCCAAATTAACCTTTCTGGGTGGCTCTTTGAAAGCCTGAGGGAAGAGAACAATGTTAAAGAATATAATTTCTTTTTGACATAAAGAGTGATCGCAATGGTAGAGAGTATTTCAGGAAAATATAAATGTTATCACTGGGCCACTATGTGCACCTCAAAAATCTTTCCAAGCTTTGTGTTCGGGTAGATACCTTTTGAGCTGGACGATAACTTGAATCAATGCCCCGAGCCAAAGACTCATCAAGCAGTGCTTTTAGCTTTTCGGCAGAATCTTTACTCTTGGAGTGTAAGAAACCCAGAGCTTTCAGAAAAATCGGATCAAGTTCCAAGTTCACAGTAGCAGCCATTGCAAACACCTGAAGAAAACAAAGGAGGGGGAGTAATTTAGATAGTGTACAATCATATATCCCTACTTTTATCTATTGTTTTCTTGCTTGTAATATTTTAAAACACCCGAAAGGTTATTAGAGGCAAAGTCATGACTGGCAATATCTGGTTCCCCTCTCCCCTCTGGAACAACAGATGTTACCAGTTTTCAATGTATCTGCATTTACAGACAGGTGATTTGTGGCCCTCCTGCCTCCACCCCCTCACTGGCGAGTTTGGAGGTGTGGGCCACCACACCTGATAATGGCAACATTTTAATATAGACAAGATCTTTAATCACAGAGCACCTTTCTAGTTATCTCTTAACAACAAAGCTATAACTTAAGGCACACAATAACTTGCCTGCTTTTAAGTCAAGTTTACTACACATCAAAATGTCTCTTTTCAAATCTCATTTTTACCACAAAAATTAAGATTTGGTGTTCATGTTGGGGGGTGTGGCAAGGATGTCACAGGAAGACAAAGGCTATGGGATCATGGTAGAAGTCACTGCCTTAGCTTTTACAACTGTTTCTTGTTTTGTTTCTGTGTACCCACCCACCCACCCCCAGCCCTCTGCTACTCTTCATATCTCAGAAAGCCCATTAGTGGTAATGTTATTATATCATATTTAGAATGTAGGATCTCTTGCATTAAGCTGTTTCTCAAAAGCAGGTCTCTGACTGGTAGTCCTTACCCACCACATGTACCCCTTAGGTCTGATAATACTTGCTGTCTGAAGGAGCTTAAACAATGGCCACACAGCTAAAGCCTCACATCAGAGGTCTGCAAAACTCTCAACAGTCAAATTTTGTTTTCAGTTAGTACTGATGTTATCAAGTGGTTCTACTTCTGGCTGTCATTTTTTTTTTTTTTTTGCAAACACCTTTCAGGCAAGGAATTATAAAAATAAAAATGTACTCTAGGTGTTCAATCCTTTGATCGATATACTAAGGTTTTAAATCTTCTTCTATCCTTAAGTTTGATGGCATAGTAATGCAGCACTGGTATAAGGCTACAGTTAAAGATCTGTCAGCAATTCCACGATAATCTCCCATTTTCAGGGGCTTATAATACCATTAAAATTTGCTGTAGGTTGGATCTTGGCATATGAAGCACTGACTGGAAATAGATTTCATTTATTTCGTATCCTATTTTTCTCTTTATACCCTGACAAATTCCACAGGACACAGGCAGACAGATGGACACACAGACACACAGAAACACACACAGACACACACACACACACACACACACACACACACACACACACACACACACACACACACCCCACTCTCTGGCTCTCTATAAGTTCCTAAAAAGGTATTATCTACTTGATAATCAAAAATCATTGCTAACTCTATGCTCTACTAAAATACCATCTGTCTGAATTCCCTAGGCAATGGAGTTTGAAGGCTAGTGCTAGAATGAAAAAGTAACCATACCTCAAATGGTTATATTAGTAAGAACTTAACAAAATGGAATAGGCTGTATTGCTGCTTTAAATTACATCACATATATTTTCTCCAAAGAATGACAGGTTCAGGAGGATTGTTTTATAACGTATTTAAGAGGCTGAGCATCATACTCACTAATACTGAGGAAAAAAGTTTAAAATAATTTCTATGACTAAAGGGATAAACTTATCGTTCCAGATTCTACAAGACAAACACAGTCTACTCTTTCTATGACCTAATTTATACAGCTACAGACATACTAGTTTATTTAACCCAGGGCAGTCTGCTTTGGAGGAGACTGAGCAAAGAGCCAATTCCTAGACAAATCCTTGTATGATAGAAGCCTCACTTTCCTTTCTAAAAATGGAAGCAAATATTGATGTGTATGCCTGTCATCACAACTGAAATGCCTGTAGATTACGTGACCTATGGTGTAATACTACAGAGACCTTCAACATCAGCATCCAAATGGAAACCTTGGAGACAGTTCTCTTTATGAAAGTCTCACCACAATTTGCACCCTTGCCATAAATTACTGACGTGTCTTTCCAAATCAATGGTGCCCACGGGGGGATGTGGTGGGTGGGTGTGCAAGTACGTCAATTTTTAAGCTCACGGAGTAAGAAAGGTTTGGAGTCCACTGCCCCAAACTATCTAGCAACTTCCAGTTTCCCCTTTCTCTTTCTACATCATGGCTTAATTAAATTACAAATCATTCTACAAGTCCATCCAGTGTTTTCATTCAGCCCAGCCCTTCTCCCTTCCCAAGCTAAGCTTAGGAATAACACATTCCCCTATATTTCTGCTTTTTTTTCTCAAGCACTTCCTGCCTTTACTATTCTCACTAATGACATCACCTTTTTATAGCCTCCTACAAGGCAGTGTTCACAGACTTGTTCCAGCTGGAAGGTTATAAAGCCATTTATAGAGATCCTCTTCTGTATTGCTGATTTTAGAAAAAAATTCCATGACCCCACTAATCAACCCTTCCATGGTATTTTCCCTACTCTAATTAGAGAACATGAGTGCCAGGCTTTTCCTTCTCTTTCCCTGGCATTACCCTTATTTCAGCATACACTATGATCTTTTAAAACTTTTCACAATTTTATTTAGTTCTTTAATGCTAAGAGCTTCATTTTCAGCCAGTTTACCACACTTATTCTTTTTTACTATAATCAACATCCAATACCTTTAAAAATTATATCATCCATTATTTTCTCTGTTCCACTGTCTTAACTCAAGAACGTATTTTGGGCACCAAGCCAACCATTTTTCTTGGTTAATCCCCCGGCTTCTTCAACCCCACATCACATGCTCTCAGTGGCTCCGTTTGTCCCCCGGGCTGCTTCTTTATCAACATTGTCTTGCTCCAACTTCTTCCCCAAACCAAACAGAAGCAGTGGGCAGCATAAAATAAGTTATAGGAAAATACAGAAAGGAAGACAGAAGAAAGAATGCTAAGTGTGAGTGAGTTTATTTTAAAAGCTTACGTGTGGCCGAAAACAAAGAAATGTAAGAAAATATTTATCACTTTAAAACTATCACTGAGCTAGTGAAGTGGTCGTGATGTTGGTGGGAGTGAATGGTTAGGCCACACTAGGAATTATCAACGCAAACCTAAGCCACAGCAGAGGTTCCACAACTGTACAGGGTCGTCTCACCGCCCCCACCTCTTTCCTGTGCTTATGGGGAGCACGCTACTTCTTTCCTTTGAGCTTTATTCTAGTACAAGCCTTTCGGTGACTCTCTTCTGGTTCTTTAAGTATCCTTATCCCATTGCTGTGATTTCAACTACTTTGTAGACATTCATCCATTTGGCATCTTCTCCCATCTACATCCAAACTAAATGCAGCTGAAAAAAAAAAGTACCATACTCTCTTACAAGTTACTAGTCCCATCTTGGCAAGTGTCACACTTGGCATTCTTATCATGTTTGTTTGGTCAATTTAAAAAAAGTACCATACTCTCTTACAAGTTACTAGTCCCACCTTGGCAAGTGTCACACTTGGCATTCTTATCATGTTTGTTTGGTCAATTTACTTCCCTTCTTTCTGGAAATGACAATTACACGTTTTCTTTAAAACTGCCATGCACTTATCCTTTACTCTTTTCCCACTTGATTAAAAAATAATAATAATAAGGAACAGCTCTGTGCATAATGTCAGTTGGACATGGATGCTACCTTTTCCTGTGCTCTCTGGAACCTTACACTGGGGGTTATTTGAAATGTCTTATTCTGAACCCTCACCCACCACTGGTATTGACATTTATTCCTTTCTTATTCTGTCTTTTCTTGTAGCAACACTTCTCTCAAATATCACCTACTTTTTATATTTTCTATTCCTTCTGATTAATGCTTCAATTCATACAATAGGGCCTTCTTCCCATAATTATATGAAAATAATCTAATCATAGTTAACTTAGTCATACAGAAATCTAAAATATACGATTTTCCCTGCTACTCATTTCTCAGTTCTTTGTAGATTTCGGCTACATGGGTTAAAAATGAGATATTTAGGCTAGGTTCTGGATGTCTTTTATTTGCACGATACCTCCTCTTTCAAATCTGTCTCTGGGATCAACAGCACAACTGTGCAGGCATCCTCAGCAAACACATTAGAAGTATAAACTCTTGGCTTCCACTTCCTTACTTACAGAAGGAAAAACAAAAAACAAAAAACAAAACAAAACTCTGGGTGAAATCTGTCAACCTTCAGCAAACCACCTGAGCAACCCCAATTTATTTTGCAAATTGAGAACTGCTGCTCCAGAAAACCTGCTTTTTGCCAGTGATCGTAAACTTCTCTTTCAAGACCATGGTTCTCTCAGCCCACCCCTTTCCATAAGAGCTAACAGCAAGTTTAACCTGACTATCTTCCTGAGGCATCCTATTGAACCTGACCCCAGTGGAGACACTTGCACCCTTATCTCTCCTAACCAATTTAAAGTCCAAGTTTCCCTTTACAAGTTACTTCCCATCTCTGGCTATTATCACTTTACTGGGGTCACACTGCACTTTTGTTTTTTGTTTGCCTGGTTTGTTTTGAAACAGGGACTTTCTGTATAACAGTCTTGGCTATCCTAAAACTAACTCACAGAGATGAGCCTGCCTTTGCCTCCCGAGTGTTGGGATTAAGAGCATATGTCACCACAGCCCTCAAACATTCCTTATTTTAAGACCAAATAAATACATTAAAGGTACTTTGTATTTTATAAAATTTTCATTGCATTGCTTTATTTAATTTTAATTTTTTCTATTTCCATTCTTTCCCTGATTCATCTCATTCCTGCTGTTCTTATCATTGCTCCAACAGTCTGTCCTGGGTTCCCTGCTGTAGTTTTGCTACCAATTTGTTCTTCAGCAATCATACACATTTTGTTGTCAACTACCATCTCTAGGCAAATGTTTCCATGTGGGTTTCTCTCACTTTCTTAAGCCTGGATTCCTTGTTTCTCTTATTTCTGTGTTATTCTATAAAACAATGGCTAGACTATTATTTGGTTAACTCATCAAAGCAAAGTCTAATGTTCTCCTCTTTAACTCTACACAATTCTAATCGCTTCAGCAAAAGGCATTAAAGGAATTCAACTGTCTTTTCACCCAACAAAACCAAAACTCAAAGAGCAAAACAATCATCTATTTTAATGGGTAGGAGTATTCCAGTGTTCTATCTGAAACACTCACTTTCTATTCTTTCCTCTGTCATTAATTCACTAAACTTGCTGGCATATATCGTGTATGAGAGCAGGCGTTTGTGTGCTTGTGTGTGGTGCGGTGTGGTGGGGTGCAGTTATTTCCCTAGCAATTAGAATTTAACAGGTGCCTTTAAATGTAGATTTTTTTTGCAAAAATGTCATTTTTTTTCAAGGCTTCTGTGATGTCCCTTAAAAAATTAAGCATCCCTAGCTAAATATATACGTTCCCTTGGGTCCCTTTCATCCTGCCTACCAGTTTCAAACAAAGTTCAAAGTCGGTCCCTTGCTAATGCATGAGATAAAGGGAACTGACTATTCATGTGGGTGCAATGCTAGGGTTACCATCTCATTACAATTCTGAAAACCCACCCCATTCCTGCCTCTGCAAGATTTTGCAATCCTTTCCAGTAAACATTTTTTGAGTGCTTGGCCCTACGTACTTCTGGAAAATTAGAGCAGGGGATGGAATCCCCAATTCCAAAGCAAACCAAGCGCTACAGAATCTGAAAAGAGACAGGACACTTAGGAATGAGAATCCTTTGATGCAAACAAAACACACGGGCGGCCTCGAGTAGGGAAGTCTTTGCCAAGGGAGCCAGAAAATGGGAGGTAAAATAAGAGGTGCGGACAGGTACCCCGGAACCCTTTGACTAAGGTCTGTGACAGTTCCACGGACCCGGTCGCCAGGGGCCCGGTCCTGAGTCCACAGCACCCTGAGAGGCGCAGTCCTAACAGGAAGGGAGGAGCGGTTAGGCTGCGGCACGCAACTGCCCGCAAATTATGAGGTTTACCCTCCAGCAGGGTGGAGATCAACACCCTACGGAGCTCCACTCGGGCCGCCCCTCGCGGGCTCTCGAGCCTCCCCGAGGCGCCAGGAAGCGGGGA